GTCTGGAACTAAAAATACTTGCCCAACCCCGGTACCCAAGTGTTTTCTATAGCAGAGTGAGAAGATCATCCCTAAAATGGGGATTAATACCAGTATTTAATAAAAAGCAATTTGCACGTACCACAACAGCTTTATTTCCACCTGACAAGTAACTGCTGTAAGCATATTAGTAATGCCCACACAAAATTAATCTGTAGTTCAATATCTACACAATAAAGCGGGGGGATTGCCTTTCTAAAATAAGACTTCGGTATTCTTACAGAGACTATTTCAGGCAATAATTGTTTTCTCCAGGTTCTTATGGATCTTTAAAAGTAGGTTAGAGAAATTAAAAGGAAAAAATATTTAGGGAAAGTAGACAAAGGCAGTACTTTCGCTCATTTAAAAAAAAAAAAATCTTATTTTAGGAAAATTAAACCTTGGAAAAAAGGTTTCTTCAAGAAACACTTCCTATTGCAATACAAACAGAACGTACAATATGTACTACATTAAGAGTTATGCTTTCCATACATGAGGAGCAAAGTTGTCTGTCTTCGTTACAACTTTTCAGGTTTTGCTTCTGATTTCTCATCTATCAGGTCTTTAAATCCCAATTTTTCCAGTGGTTCGTTAGCCATAAGTTGCCTAAATTAAAAACAAAACAAAAACGTTTTGTATAGCACAGTCTATGACCAAGAGAATAGCAACATTTCCCACGTCATTTTGTATTATTTACTCTAAAGAAATCCAAGACGTTCATACAGAGTGGGCGGACCCGCCTGAGCGGGAGGGTCGGGCCGGTGGCGTCCCGCTGCGCTCCCGCTGCCAGCTCGATCGACCTCTGCGAAATAAACCGTTTTCTTCTCATAAAACCAGTTGTTTTTTTTCCTAAGTTACCGCTGGACTCTGAATGGGGGGGGTGAGAGCGATGGTCACGGGCAGCCTGCCTGCTGAGGGGCAGGGAAAAGTGGTTTGTCCTCTCAGCGTTGGGAAAGGAAGGGAGAAGGGGCAAAACTCAAGAGTCTGGTGTAAGAAAATCTGTTTATACAGGATCCAGCCTAATCCGAGTGTCTCCCATTGCTGCCCAGGAGCTGGTGGTCAGGGCTGGGGTTGAGGCCGGGGTCCTCCTTGCCTTCCGCCTCGAAGAACAAGTTCCTCACCCGGCACTGCTGAACACTGAGGCACGACTCAAACCCCACATTTTTCTGGAGCCAGGTCTGGCTGGCGGTGCGATCCGGGAGCCCTGGGGATCAGCGCGCAGAGCTGAGGCACCCCAGGGAGGCGTTATCAACTTTCCATAGAAATCCCACAGGATTTCAGAAAAGCCATCCCTGTCCTGCTGCAGTGATGTGAACTCTGCCATCAGCCACCCGTGGCGGCAGCGACGTGATTGCTTATCCCTTGCTAATTCTCACGGTTTAACGCCCGTGCACCAACCTGACGGACAGCATCGAGTTATTTTGTGCTTCCTACAAGCGATGGGTGAGCATCCCATCAGGCCAGGAACGATGAGGCCAGTAAAACCAAGTGGTTGTTGGCGGATGCTTGGGAAATAGTGAACTTCCAGGTCCTCAAGACAGATCACGAAGAAAAACACCCCTTTCCCCTTTGCCCACAGGTTTACAGCACGCTCTCTGCAGAGCCTCAGATCTTATCCTGAAAGGAGGATGAGAAATGGGGTTAATTTAACCTACCTAAGTGCAAACTGCGGATTATGCTGTTAGAGTCTTTCTTCTTCTTTGCCCATAGCTGCAATTGGTTTAAGATGGTCTTTCATCTGTTTTAAGTTGATTTTATTTTAATTAAATGACTGAGATAAGTAGAAAGAATGCAAGGCTGTTTAAAAAAAGCAAGAGATGCAATTGTTAAGGACAGCCATTATGAAAATATTACCTGCTGCCCCATTTAAAGTGAGTTTTGTTTATGCTTTGATTGCTTCCTTATTACAGTATTGAAATTGTAAATGGAAAATTACACCGTGTTCTATTACATAAGCAACTGGTTTACACAGCCTGAAATATAAGATTTTATTTCTTATTATGTTTTCAGCACTATGAACAATAGATGTTTTTTATTATACGGTAAATAGCGCTTTTCCACTTGACTTCATTATAACACTTAACAGTAAAAGGGAGATACTTCTCTTTCATAAATACCTGCAGCAAACTGTCTCCCAGATCTCAGGGGACTGAGCAGCAGAGAAGCAGCTTTGGTTTATCTGGACAAGTTTAACCAAAGTGTCAAGGCACTTGATTTTATCAAACTGCCCAAATTACGTTCCTTAGTTTCTGGCACAGCAGCTGACTTGCTGATTCCTCGTGTGATGAAGGAAGAAATCAAAGGAAAAAGATATGCAGGGATCCCACAGTGGAATTATTCCCAGACAGCGACAATCCTATGCAAAGGCTATATCAATATGCTGTATTACATTATATCCAAATATTTTGATTACCTATTAATTAACTCAGTATCTGCCTTTGGAGTCTTAAATTTTGTAGTTACCCAAATTCAGATCAGGTATACTAGCAAGTATTTGATTATGCTTGCTTAATGTTTTTATTGCATGTTAGTTGTATCTTCTAGAGTTTCCTTTAAAGGTACAGTTTGTCTTAGAATCTAACATGTGCTTTAGCAGTTTTAGTATGTATTTTTCTCAAGGAGATCAAATGAAACCCCCATTAGATAATCAGTGTGAAGAAAAAATACACCTCATTTTCAGATTAAGCCAACCAGTTCCAAAAGAATTCAATAAAAACAGTGCCACAAAGAGCAGTGCCACAAACAGAGAATTAAATGCTTTTCACATATTATCTTTCAAAGAAGTGAGAGACTTTCATGGCACCAGGGAAATCTGAAATATCTGTTTTAGTAAAAAAGGTGCCCATTGTACAAGAAAAATCAGATAATTTGAAAAGCACCCAGTGTTTTACAGTATCTCTAGTCTGGAGTCCTGAGCCCTTTCCAAAAATTAGAAGGCTCAAATTAGAAGGCTCCCCAAACTAAAGAAAATCTTGGCTCTTCCTCTTTCAAGTTACACAGCTTGATAGATTAAAAAAAAAAAATTCCTTTGCTTGCATCAGAGCTGTTAGTCATTAATTATGGACTAAGGAGTCCTTAATTATGGACTAAAGTAACATTTTTTAAATGCTTGCTCTTTTATAACATTCTCATATCACACTGAAAACTTCTTCCACAATCGGTGCTTATCTGTCAGTTGTACAAATGTACCTTCAAAAGGAGATTTTACACACTTAGCATTACTTTTGGAAGCACTGAATTGAGTAATACATCAGGGCAGAACCTTTATTCCTTTTTATGGGCTGGGTAGAGTCCAGGACTTTCATTGTTTTCCCTTGCTCACCATGCTGCACCTTTTAAGAGCCTAGAGATTCAAATTATCAGGTAGTTAATTTGAAAATAATTTATTGACAAGCTCTGAGAGGCTTTGAGTAAAGTACTAGGGGATTTTGTAGCTTGACTTGGGATAGCTGTAAGAAATTAATCAGTTGAACAAGACCAAGCACATTCAGACACTGGAATTTGTGCCCTTGAGACTGCTGTTCCCAGCCCAGGCACAGAACACACCTCAGAGAAACATCCTTCCAGGATCACTCATTCCTACGCCTCACCCTCGTGCAGCGAGCACGCCGCCAGCTCTTACATAAGGTCTCTTGCTACATCACTGCCACAGGGGCTGTTGTAAACCATTTTTCTCTCTTTTAATTCAGGTTCCTAGACAAGCAAAAATGCAGAATATTGCCAGAATAGTCTGGGGAATGGGGATTTCTGTTGTAGATGATTAATGGAATATTATTGTTTTGCACTTACAGGGAAATCATAGTTTCATGCCAGTAAGGTCAGGGCCTTAATATGTTATGTGCTCTACAAAGATGTACAGAACGATAGCTCGTTTTCTGTTATGACTGAGCCAAAGCCTCATCAGGTTAGAGGGGAACGTGGTAGAAATAGTAACACTGCACTGAAAGCCAAAGCAAACTTTTTTTCTTGCATGCTAGTTGCAATTCTGGGATATCTAAATCTACATCTCTATCTGCACCAAGAAAGGGGGCCCAAAAGTAAGATGTTGGGACCCTGGCTCTGTAGATACCTACCAGCTAATCATCCTTCGTGATATGCCCCAAACTGCCCTTGGATTAATATAATTTCTGCAATACTGTATTGAGATAGAGTGAAACTAGGAACCCAGAAGAAAAAGATCCTTGGAGCTATATTGAGGCATTTCATTTGTTCAGTCATATTTTGAAAACACATTCTTCATAACCTGACCTCCTCAATACTAAATTCCCAGGTCAGACTGCCTTGGCTTGTTGGCATAAGTGTGGAGTCTGGAAGATCATGCTTCTGGCTACAGTCACAATGGATTTTACTGCAAATATTTTTTTATATATGCATATTATAAAGTACATTACCAGCACCAGATCCCAGGATCTCCCATGTATTTTGTCACTAAGATCCATGAAGGAATGACATCTATTCAGTCCAAGAAGGGTTTTTAAAACAACAAAGTTCCTGAGAATGATTTGTTACTAAAAGGGGTAAATGCTTAACATGAATAGGAAATACTGATTTGCGGATGGGAAGAAGCAGGTGTAATCCAATAAAACAATGCAATAATTATGAAAAATTTAAAGAGGTCACAGTCGGAAAGCTTTTGATTTCTTCTTGCACTGGCATTTGTCAAGGTGAGCGAAATCCATTAGCAAGGAGCAGCCTGAGTTTTAACACATCTGAGTCTTTAAAAATGTTAATGTTTAATAGGGTGTGCTCATGCTTTATATATCCCTGATAACAATGCACGGGCTGATAGGCATCTCTTGAGGTTGTAAATCAGTGGCAGAGCCTTGCAAGGCACACAAATACTTGGTGTTCACCCTCATGGTTTATTGTGTTATCAGAATTCATTGACTGAATGATGGCCTTATAACAGCTCTTTCTCTGCATTATCCTGCTGTTACTGTAGCATTATTAACCTATGTCCCATTAGAAGATTATATGTCGTTCTCCAGATGAGCACACAGAAGTTAGATGACTCTGTGGCTGTTTAATGTACAGGCTTATTTTCCAGGAGGATCTGATTATTTCCCTAATCTGTGCCCACAAAGTCTGCTTACCTGAAGATGATATCGATTCTGGCTGGGACTGGTAGAAAGACAGACATGTGAGCAGGGAGCAACATTTTCTCCCCAGTCATGTGTGGGATGCCTCACCTGCAAGCCAACAACTCAGTTGTAGGCTGTGTTCAGGACTGCATACTGGAAGCCAAGGTATATGAGGAAGAAATGGAGATGAGGACATCACGTTAGTTGTATTTTAAAACTGCAGGGATGACCTCCCACTGGAGAACTCATCCATCATTTCCCAAAGTGCATGCATCAGTCCAGCAGGTTGCAAGTCCATAGGCTCGTGACTGGAGAAAGGATTTCACATTTTTATCACCAGGTACTACCTGAAGCTTTAGTCTGGAAGCCCTTGAGAAGGTGCTCTCACTTTCCACAGCAGTAGCCAGTTCTACTCCAACAGAGAACTGGTGTTTGTATGTACATAGAAACAATACATTTCCTCCACTGGTACCCAACTGGACCCATATAGGGTTTTTTCCTCACTCTTGCTGTATTTTGTAAAGTCTCAAGAGTCCCAGTGGTCACACCATTTGCTCAGAGAAGAGTCTGACAGAACAGAAATTCTTGGAAATGTCCGGAAGAAGAGGGTGCAGACCAAGACATCACAGTTGTGCAGCAAATCTTGAGACAGATACGACCATTCATTGCTCTCCTTTCTTTGCCCACCCTGCCTAGTTCTCTTCTGCACAGGGTAATTCACCCTTGTGAAAAACTCCACTCCTGATAACCAGCCTTGGAGAACAGGCAGACACACAGGCACCTTTTTCATGTCAATCTAGTTAGAGTTTATTGATTGCCTTTGCCTTCAGCTAATGTACTTTTATTATTATTATTATTAAATAATCTTAATTTTTCCATCAGTGGAGCCTTGGAGGATTCTAGCAAAAGGATTATTAAAACTAAAGATTTGTAAACAGTTGAACAGCAGCATGGTCCATTAATCTGTCAGAACCTGCAACTGGGGAGCAAAATATCCCCACCTGAGAATATGTGAGAGAGCATCAAATTGGCTCCTTCCCCTAGAGTCACCATTTAAAACTGTGGCCTCCTGTTCATGACTATTTCTGCATTGTTGACATCCCCCAAGGATGCAAAGGGTGCGGGTGGCTCCTGGGGAGCTGTCGCCTGGGCACGTGGGCTCTTGCAGGACCCTGCCCTGGCACGGTGCGTGACTCAGTACCCCAGAGTGCCAGAGCTGTTGCTGGGTGCTCCTCCTGGCTGGCAGCCCCTCTGCAAAGAGCTGCCCAGGCAGCCTCCAGCCTCTGCCTGGCCAGCTGCAGAGCTTGATCCTGGCTCCTTCCAGGTTACAAAGATCAGGGATTTCTTTCCCAGTCTAGGCAGAAGGATTGCCTGGAGGGGATGGTTTCTCCTAGAGGATTGTATGCATCTGCTTGTAAACAGGCAGGACAGCCAGGAGAGAGTCATCACCAAACTGAGAGATACAGATGGACATCCAGGCACACAGTCCTCTTGACAGTAAACTGCAAAATAGTGACTAAAGTGGTTTCAGGGGCGTTTGGGGATTGCTGGTAGAGGATTTCTGGGACAAAGATCAATAACAGTGTCAGCAATGAAAGCATTGTGTTGCTCAAGGGTATGATTTTCCTGGGGTGGCAGGAAAGCAGAGAGAATCAGAGCTGTCACCTGTAGGTAGCCCTACTCCTGTCTGCAGTCCCGAATTAGCACATCTTCATGCCACCACTATTCCAACTCCTCCTTGGACAGCACTGTCTTCCCTGAAGACTTGCTTGCCAGCTGCACCCTGGGCCATGCATTATTGTGAGTTTTTCCTCCTGTGTCCTGCTTTTTTCATTGCATCACGAGAGGTCCAGCTGAGTCCTGTGATTTGGCACCATGAGAGCAATCCAACACAGGTCCCTTAATTCTGCCCCTGAAATCACATAGACCACAACATGCCCATACCACAGATTTTCACTGGGAAACAAACACCTTGCCCCAGTTTTGTAGATGAAATAGGAGCTCCAGATTAAGATAATCCATGTTTCAGAATAAAATAAGGTGCTTTTTTTGGCAGGAGAAGAAAGTACATCTGGTCTAAATGGAAGTAAACAAGACGTCAGAGTCTTTTTCTCTGTGTAAAGCAACTGCCCCAGAAGGTGTGTTCAGGCAACAACAGAAGGGCTATAAAGGGACCCCAGGATGCTCATACCCACACCTTGATCTAGACATGGCCATACAGAGCTTGCTACAGTACATGGGCTGTAGCTCGCTGCTCTACGTGGCAGCAGGGCTGGTCGCTCTCCTTTACTTTCTTACCAGCTTGAAGAAGTCGGTTTGCAGTTTGCCTCCTGGGCCGCGACCTCTTCCTCTGATTGGAAACTTGAACGTGGTGGACCTGAAAAAGCCGTTCCAGTCACTGACAGAGGTAGGGTCTGAGGGAGCAGGCAGGAGGAAAACATGCAATTCCTGAAGCAAGAAATGCAACTCGGGAAATGGAGATGCGATTGCGTTTGCATTGCGTGGAGGGCAGAAATGAGATATTTGGTATATTGGAGGGCTGGCAGAGTGCCTTTACCTTCAGAGGTATATACACACATACGTGTATTTTTTAATATATTTATATATATATAAAAAATATAATACACAAATTCCTTCCTTTATACACACACAAGCATAGACATCCCCACCCCCCTTGCAATCAGCACCATATTGTTGGTATTCCAAGCTCCTCAGAGGCTGCAGGTAGAAGACTCGAGTTGGGCTGGTCTGCTGACAGATCAGGACTATTTGCCATCAAGAGATGTCTCACTGCAGGTAGGTCTCTCCCACTCCCCCACATCTCCATTTCCCTAGTTAGGAAGGGAGGAAGGGAGACAGGAAGGGAGGGTATCATCCCCGCAGCAGAGGAAACGCGGTCACATACATGTTTGTTTTCAAAGCTAATTGTATCCCTGCTATGCAACGCTCCACTCTGCCTCCTCAGCCTTTCCCCTGCACAAACACACTGGCCAGGGCTATTTAAGGCTTGATGCATGGCTTTTATATGTCTAGGTAAACAAATTGCTTTTTCTTCTGCAGCTCCATGGATACTTTTATTTCTATAAGAGAAAAAATAAGACTTCAATATTATAAAGCGATGTGCAGTGTTTGTTTCAGAAAACGTCTGCTGTGTTCCCACATGGAGGTGGGGACAAGGCACTGTGAATTCCGATTTCTTTCGGTTACTGTAGAGACGGCTGAGGTGCCGTGAGTGACCTGTCACATACCCTGTGTGTGTGCTCACCCGACACTGTGATGGTGGAAACCCAGTCCCCAGTGATCTCCTTCAGCCACCTGAAGAGCCTCAGCGAGGGGGCAGTGCAAACACTGAAATTCTCCAGTTAGTCATAGAAGAAAGGGCATCCTGGGCTGCAAAAGTACAGAATTCCTACAGCAGTCATGCAGTGTTCATCTGCCTTGATTTACAGTGTAGAGGAGAGTGCAGAGCACAGTTTTGATGGTCTTCTGGCCCTGAGCTCCCATCTGATCGTAGGTATGTTTGAAGGTGCTGGTATGGAAGAGCAAATATTTTTGGCTGTAATGGGGGATTTAGTGATAGAAATGTCATGCGAAGGCACCAGACTAATTTCCTATAATTTGCCAAGCGGCTTTCTTTAGGCTTTCGGGCCTGCCAGATCCAATACTTGTGTTGTTGAGAAAAAACAGGGTTGATGCCAAGAAGTACTAATGCAAAGAAATGACCCGAGGAGGGCTAGGAGGCGGCTGTGATTCCCTGCCTCTGGCTCTGCTACACACTCTGTGAGCTGCTGGGGATGAAAGAACCAGTGTTAATGTTATCTCCCAAGCCGTCAAACCACCGTTTGATGAAAACAAATTCAATTTGCCTGGTTTAATAACAGGAGCTGCTTCTAATCTGAAATTCAATTTTCAGAATGTATCTAATGCATAGCAAATGGTAACCCAGGCTCATCGGAAACAAGAAGACATTTGGAGCGGATGGCTTGCAGTGTGTTTAAATGAAGTTTAAAATACCGAGTGAATGATTAGATTGTCAAAGCCACCCTTCTGTGTAACAGATGATTCATATTTAATTTGCTATAAAAGCCTAGAGCTCCTGTGACATTATCTACATGAATATGCTTCCTAGTTGGATTCAAGTTTCTGGTGGCCAGCAAATAATTTTGCGATGACTGTAACACTACCCACCTTGCCATAATTAGAGACAAGTGCTGTCCTGAAAGAAAGAGTTATTGTCTAGCTTTGTTTTTGGAGTGTTTGTGGCTTCAGCCTCAAACATGTGTGCATGCCTGCTTGCCTCAGGTCAACAGCATTAAAATAAACAGGCCTGCCTGCTACAGCATTTTCTAACCAGCCCCCCAACGGTAGTACCACTAGGCTGGCCTGTTACTGCAGAACACCACAGGAATGCAGTGGCATTGTATTGACTTCTCTGATAGGAGCAGTGATAGCAGACACCTTGTTGTGCAAACAGGGTGCAAGCAGAGATGCTGGCAACTGATAGCTGTTGCTCATTAGTTGCATTACAGCAGCACCTGGAGACTTCAGGCAGGGCTAGGAGGCTCCTTTCAGGTGAGAAACCACCTAGGGTGGCTAGTGCTAGTGTTTGGATCCAGATCTGGTTTGGAATGAACATATTTATTTACCTTGACAGCTCTCCAAGATATATGGCAATGTCTTCACTGTGCATTTTGGACCCAGGAAAGCTGTAGTACTGGCTGGGTATGAAACCATCAAGGATGCCCTTTCAAATCATGCTGAAGAATTTGGAGAGAGAGCAGAAATACCTATATTTAGGAAAATGACACAAGGAAATGGTAAGTGACCTTTTGGTTGGTAAGTTTTTGTAGTTTGTCTATGTTCATTATACACTTACAACAGAGGGTAACATCCTCTTAGAGATTGCTTTTTGTGTCTACAACAGTTTATCAAGCAGCTTTGGTACCAGTGTGTAAGACTGGTTTAACATTTATAAACGTTTATTAACCACAGGTAACATAATGATGTTCCACCTTTATTTTAGGCATAGCATTCAGCCATGGAGAGCTGTGGAAAACTATGAGAAGATTCACCTTGTCCACACTGCGAGATTTTGGAATGGGAAGGAGAACCATTGAGATCCGAATCCTGGAGGAAGTAAATTCCCTTATCAGATATTTTGAATCCTATCACGGTGAGTGTCAAGACTTTCTTTCATGCAGAGATAGAAAACATGTCTAGCAGAACAATAAAGATGAATGCAAGTTTAACTCTGAGCAAATGGTATCTCATGGTTAAAATTCAGTATATGCTGAACCAAGGCCTTAAAACATCGAAACTGAGTTCCCTGCTAAGCATTCTGGGTGGTGAATGGGTTTTTTCTTTGGGAGCTCAGGACTACATTTCCATAGGAAATCAGATTGAAATGAACATAATTACACTGTAATTTGTTTTCATTGCTTGAAATATAGGGAAACCATTTGATACGAAGATGATACTCAACAATGCTGTATCCAATGTCATCTGCTCTATACTGTTTGGAGAGAGGTTTGAATATGATGATCCTGTATTTCTAAAGTTGCTGAAGCTGATAAATGAAAATACTAAGCTGTTGGGCTCCCCTATGGTGCTGGTAAGAGCTTGATCTTATGCTTTAGATTTTAGTTTCTTGGAGGATATCGAGTTGCCCATGTTTGTCCTCCTGGCCTCCCACATTTTGCTTCTTGAGAATAAGAACATTATCAGCCAGCCAGCCTGTACAGAACACATCTGCAGTTCTGTATCCACCACACACAGATGCCCAGGCCCCTGTGAGTACTCTGTGACGCTTATTAGTGAAAGAAAAAAAGAGTCTTCACAAAAGGAACTATTTTGCCCTCTCTGAAGAGCAGAAGCACAATATGTTTCTCATATCAGAGATGGAACCTGAAATGCCATCTCAAATCTGCCTTCTTGTATTACACCTTCAGTAACTGTTTTAATTGTGCCTCCCCCAGAACCAGGTTTGACAAACTTTCTTTTATTTTGGCCACTGAAACTCAATCTGAGCAAACTAACAGCTGATATAAATCTGTTCCCTTCTGAACACCAGTGGAGTCATCTTTCTGAGCCACACTGAGGTCTGCAGCTGGCTGTTAATTCCAAACTAGCTAAACCCAAAAAGCACCACCCGAGCACAGGTCAGAGTTACACGCTGTGTACAGACACTCTCCCAGGACAAGGCACCAGCTAGCAGCTAACAGCAGGTGTTTGTTTAATTGTCTGGCAGGGCAGCCAGTGGTCTCCTGGAAGATGTGCACACCTCTCATGGGATGGTGGGGGTGAGACCCCTCCTTTCTTCTGACAGCACCTACGTCCATATGACATAGTGCAATGCTGTGCTCAGTCCAGCTCCTAGCACCAGTGTGGTTGGCTTAGCTCGGTGCTGTGCCTAAGCTAATTGGCTTGGAAAGCACCATGCTGACAGAGCAATGTTGTCTGTCTGCGGAGGTGGCCAGTTCAGGTCCCTTCTGATGCTACAGGAGATGGCACACCTGAGGGCTTTCCCTGGAATAAATACAACGCTTGCATTCCCATCTTTCATATCTGAGACACTCTGTCCCACCACCTACACAGCTGGAAGCTCTTAGAGAAGATTAAGCTGATGAGTCTCCCAAAAGACACGGCAAGGACTCGTGCAGAGGTATAATAGAGAGAACACTCTATTCTGCAGCAATTCATAGCTGCGTGGACTGTACAAGCCAATGTGGGGGAATTACAGCCTGAAGATATCAGGGCATGGGACAAGGGACCAGCAGTGTGATTTGAGATACCACTACATGTTCAAAATGCCAGTTAATAGTAAGACTTCTCCTGCTCCACAGTTATATAATTTCTACCCATCCCTTGGATTTCTCTCTGGAGCTTCCAAGACGGTGCTACAAAATGTCAGTGAACTGAATGCTTTTCTCCAGAAGCTCTTCCAGGAACACAAAGAAGAGTTTAATGAAAATAACTTAACAGGCTTTGTCGATGCCTTTCTGATGAAGCAACAACAGGTACTTTAAAGCTAAGTCTCAGAGTCTCTCTCAGCTCTGACATTGTTAGGACTGACCATCTGTCAGGGACTGGGAGTGATTAGAAACAGAACTGCAGTGAGCAGAATATATCAAAGCTCATGCTCACAGTGATCTGTGTTGTACTTGCTCCATAGCTCCACTGAAACTGCTAGTTAAAGGGTTCTAGTTGTCAAGGTGTCCCATGTGGGTGAAATAAGGTACCACTCAGCACACGTAAGGACGTGATCATCCCAAACCTTCCTGCAAGAGTGGTACTGTGATAAACTTCATTGTAGTAAATAAATTCCAACTAACCTAACATCTAGACCTGGGAATGGCACATATGCTTGGGACCAGACAAATTCCATACAGCATAGGCCCCAATGCTAAAATACTAAACATTTATTTTCCCAGAGCATATAGAGCCACAAAAAGATAAAATGCAGATAAAAATGGTGGCAACACAGTCACATATTGGTATCGCTTGCTGTAGAACTTATGACCACTACCTGTATGTTTTGAAGGAGTCAAAGAAAACCCACACTATGTTCAACAGTGGAAACCTATTGTTTTCAACCCTGGACCTCTTTGCTGCTGGGACTGAGACTACTTCTACAACTGTGCGCTGGGGTCTTCTTCTGATGATGAAATACCCAGAAATTCAGAGTAAGGCTGAGAAGTCCTCTTGTACAATATACTATTGCATGCTTAAGGCTTTGATCGTGGAAGGGAGTGGAACTCATTCAGTGTTGTCTAGAGTAATTATTCTGAGTACTCTGGGAGAGATAACAACCGTTGACTTTACAAAGGAATTTTATTCAGCTGGATTGCAATAAAGCAGCCCAGCCAAGTGGGAGAGGCTAAGGGTCAGTCTACAGTTACAGTAAAGCTCCCCCATCATTATTCTCCTGCAGGCTATGGGCTTACGTCACTAAAGGTCTCCTCAGGAGCTGATTCTGATCTGGTTTCTGTTGAAGGTTATGGGGTAACAAAGGTGTGTAATCAGAATCAGACATGGGATGCATTGTAGTGACTCCATTCAAGCTCTCTTGGCTCAACAACAAACCTGAAAGAGCCACACCATGCCTTGACTTACCCACTTCTGCTCTCCCAAATACCCCTCAAAGTTTTCCCTTTTCTTCATCTTGGCCATTCCAGTTGCAAGATAAGAGGGTTATCAGCTTCTTAATCCTTTCCTCCCTCCAAGGAAAGATTCAGGAAGAAATGAACCACGTCATTGAACCAGGAGAGCTGCCTAAATTGGAGGACCGGAAAAAAATGCCTTATACAGATGCAGTGATACATGAAATACAAAGGTTTGCCAATATTGTCCCAATGAGCGTATCACGATCAACTCCTACCGATGTGAATTTCCAAGGCTATGTGATTCCTAAGGTGAGCTTTGAGGCTAGCAGCTTACACTGCACAGAGTCCTTATGGTTTTGTTTAAAGCAGACAAGAAGAAAAATAAAAAAATCTAAAGACACAATGATGCATGGTTTAATCTATGATGTGATCCTTTGTCTTGGATCCAGGACAGCTATTATAAATGTGCACTGGACTGTGGTCTGTTACAGCTGTTTGAATCCAGAAAAACTAGAGACTTTAACTAACTGGTTTGAATCTCTTATGTCAAATGTGGAACCTCTACTTCAGCATCTTTCTTTAAAGATCTGACTCTGTAAGAAAGGAATATTTTGTGGTCCAAAAAGTCAGTAGCAGCTACTGGTAACAGGCAGAGTCACAGTGGGGCAGGGAAGTGTCCCCCAGTTCTATTTGTCATGGCTCAGCCTTAGTTGCCTCTTCACTTTAGAAAAAAGCAAGCAGCCTGGCTCAACTAGGAGTGATCTGCTCCAAATAGGTACTGTGAGCTTCTCTGATGCTTTTCAGGGTACAGAGATTATTCCGCTGCTGACCTCTGCTCTGAATGATGAGTTACACTGGAAAACCCCGGATCAGTTCAACCCTTCCCACTTCCTGGATGACAATGGGAACTTCATTAGGAGAGAGGCATTTATTCCATTCTCCATAGGTGAGAGGGGGCTGTGTGCACCACCTGGGGCTGGGCTAATGGCACGGTTCCCCTGATTCCAGAAAAGAATTAAAATCAGGGACACAGAGCATAGGATAAGGGATTTCTGGTCATTTCTCCTGTCCACCATTGCTGTAGGTAACCACCTCTTCTTTGGCAGATCTGGGAGACACTGATTTACCCACAGCCACTGAATAATTTCCCATACCTACAGGCTTCTGTGTAGTTTGAGACCAAGTCAGTAGCACCTCTAACACACAGAGAGAAGGAAGGAAAAATTTCCTACCTCAGCAGCCTGTTCTTACAGACTGTACATCCAATTTAGAAGGTCTCAGACATCAACACTAATGGTTATGGTGCTGATAATTTATTTCTCTCCTGGTTGTTTTCAGGACGAAGGGCTTGCGTTGGAGAAGGACTTGCCAAAATGGAGCTGTTCCTCTTCTTTGCAGGCTTGCTCCGCAGATTTGTTTTCCAACCCCCTCCAGGAGTGGATAAGTCAGACCTAGATCTCACTGCTGATGTCGGCTTTACCCTGAACCCCATGCCTCACCTGGTTTGTGCTGTGCCCTATGAATGATCAGATGACATGGAGTTAGAGTAGTGAACACTTCAAGCTTGAAAGCAAGTCTAGTTATGGGGAAAAGCTGTCTGTAGCTGAGCTTTAGGGGAAGTAAGACACTGGGCATTGCTATTTTTCTCTCATTTATGCCATTCTTTCCAACAGCACTTGCGGTGTCTGCATAATGCAAACCCTTCAGACACTGCTCTCAGAAACAGTGTGATTCATTTCTGGAACAGCACATCAGAGATGCAGTTTTCAGGGCTGTTTGAAAGAATGAAATGGCTTCAAGCCTCCTCTATAGATGTAACCATCAGAGGCTCTCTTCTGAGAGCCTCCAAGGGAATTTCTCAGCCCAGAGTCGAAGCTGTATAGCAGAGCTGATTGTCAGTGGCCCAGAGACAACAGACACTTGATGGATCTAGAAATCTCCCCAGGACGGTTGTTCAGCTGAGCCTCAGACTGAGCTTCCATTGTGCGATACAACCTGCCTTATCTTTATTACAGAGTCCCAGACACGAGGGTGTAACATGGGCTGATGCCAAGAGCCAGGCACGGGACAGTTATCAGAAAACATCAAGTGGTTTGGGAAGTGGGTTCATTCCAACTCACATTAGGCACTTTATGCCGAAGAGCCTGTTTATGATGGGGCCAATCTAGCAGCTTTCTGCTTCTGCTAAGAAAGGCATTTCTACCACTCCCTTACCTCTCCTGGCTTTGTGCTGTCTCTGGCATTTTCCCGATCCCTTACTAGGCCACCTTAGATCCCTAAACTGGCAGAAAATGACCAGCCACAGAAAGTGAAGAGTTTCTGACTCAGCATGGCTAAAGCTGGATGCAAGCCCAAAGCAGTGTGAGGGTGATGCAGCCACATTCCCATCAGAGAGCTGAGAGAGGCTCAGCCCTCTTCTCTGCTTGCACCTTAGGAGCTGTATAGTTGCTTCTAGATCCTCTCTACCCTCCACAGAGAGAGAAGATCCTTCAGTGGATGATTCAACTGCTGTAAGGTCTGAATTGCTCACTCTCCATTGACTGCAGGGTGAACCATCATCCACAGGCTCCTAATTCAAACTTCAATCTCATGTATCAGGTGTGTTGGGATGAATAGGGACAATATTTTCCATTTGACTGGAAATGGAGTGTCGACTCTTTAGAAAATACTGCTGTCTTCAGCTCTGCATCAGATATGCAGCCCCTGGCATTTCGAGCTCTCTCGCTCTCCAGACATTCCTTGTGTCAGGGATAGGCAGCAAGGTCTTGAGGCAGAGTAACAGATCAGCCTGCACTGCTGAGCACATACCACTGCCACAGGTTCCCATGGAAGTCATATGTGCTCAGGACACAGCAGGAGCAGGGCCATTGCAGTAAGAACTGCAAGTGAAATTTCGGTGCTTGCAAAAAGTCCTTTGGACACTTAACGTAGGAACCAAAGTTACAAATCCAGAGCTGATAGTGTTCACATTCTGCCAGCAGAGACCCTGAATCACTGTTAAGGCTAATCAGATTTTGCATGTAGTCACTGTGGAGATAGATGTAAAATTGGTAGTAGAACCTGGAAGGAGAAGCAAGTTAAGCTTTGTTACCAAGTTGCTCCCCTGTACCATTAACTTGTTGTATGGGGGTCTCTGTAGAAAGCTGGTGACACCCCAGAGACTGTGGCTGGCCTAGAGCAGCTGTTTGATTACTACAACTACTGATTTATTTTGTGTAGCAGACATTAGGAGTAGGAACAACTATCTGTACCTGCAAGGCTACACCCATGTGATATGTGTGTGAAAGCTGGATGGTGGTGCAGGTATGAGAGAGGAGGCTGCTTCATGTGCCGTGAGACAGGGGGAAACCACATGCAGGTTAGGGAGCAGTGAGTCACTGAAGATGCTTTTGTGTTGGTTTGGAGACAGGAAAGGCAGGTTAGGATGAAAAGAAAGAAGGGAGAAATAGAAAGTTACAGAGACTGAGGGGGCAGTTATGGTAAATCTATAGCATAAAGCTAAAGTTGCTTCATCTAAAGCTGATCTGTGCTGCAAATGGAAGGAAAGAAAGGAAGAAGAGAATATGAAGGGATAACAAAGTAGGGCACTCTCTAGCCAAGAGACTGACTCTTCACACTAGCTTTAGTTCATGCAGCTAAAGGCAGCACTCTAACAGTTGTATGGTACCTTGTACTGGTCATGGTACTGCACTTGCACGTGCATTGTACGGTGGGGCCAGCTCCAGCTTCTAGTTACATCTCAGGAGTCTGCTCGACAAGCTATGTAACAAGAAAGCCTTTGCTGCTACACTTGCTTACGTTTGTTTTGCTGTTGCTCTATATGCAGTCTAACTACTGCAAGCCTGTCCATATCTCCTACTTAATAAATAGATATTTTGCTCTGTTGATGTTTGACTATCTGGTGTAGCAGGACGAAGTTGATTTGGGGTCAAACCGATAAAGTTGGGCTGCACCACCTTTAATACACCCACGCTGGAGAGGTGAGCACAGGGATCCCGGGGCAACGTGGAGCCAGGACATGTTTAGCAATGCAAAGAGTGAGCAATGTTCCCAGCCACAAACAGCTCAAAGGAAATCACTGAACTTCTAACTCCAGAAAATCACAGCTGCTGTCTGAAACTGGATGACTCTCTGATGCGGCCTCCTGTGGCTCCTGCCCTTGTTTAAAAGGAATTCATCACAGTAAAAGCCAGCAGGAATTATCTGAGACTGCAGTCCTGGATGCACTGCTGGTCAAGGAAGGGCACAGACATTTTGGAGGATTTAAGTTAATTCAAAGAATGCAGGGCTGATGCTTTACTGGCTGGGTCTCCCCAGGGTGGTTAACCGTCAGCGCAGTGGCTGTGCTTAGGGGTCGGTGGGTGATGCCCACACTCCATGTGCTCACCAGAACAACCTGGTTCAATGCGGTGGCAGGGGATTGCCACGTGGGCTCGAGGGACCGAGGACAACCTGGCTGTGAGCACCCTGAGGGGCCTGGCTGCCCCAGGAATGCACCCGGAGCGGTGTCAGCGCCTGGCAGGTGGTTTGTGCTCAGCTCTGTGTGCTCAGGCAGGGGAGCACGTAGCAGCGTGGCTTCGGAGCGAAACACGTACCAGACACATTATTGAGACAGGAATTTCTTGTCATCGCAAGAGCTTGACTTACCTTTGTCATTTTAATGCATTGCACTCAGAGCCTGGTTTAAAAAAAACCCAATACGTCCCCCCCTCCACCCTGGCTTTTCAGAGATAATTTAAGTCTCTTTCTGAAAGGCCTTTTTATGATTTCAGCAGCTCCCAGGGCAAGGACGAAATACCAGGAGAGAGGCAGGAACACGTAACTTCTGCACTGCAGGGTGCTGCCGGTCAAACAAAACCCTGCAGGAACAAACATTTTTCACAGGGCGCAGAGCATGTGCCGTCGCAAGTTCTCATGGCAGTGCCCACATTCTGCATCCTGTGCCAGCCCCGATCCTTCTTGCCTGTCTTTACAGCCCCTCTGCCTCTTCACTCACTTGAGCAGGCAGGGTTGAGTCATCCTAGGCATGCTCCGAGGGAAACTGTTGCCTCCAGCCCATTTCTTGGAAACTAATAAAAAAAAATAATCTCAGAAATGTTGCAACATACTTGCTTCTTCTGCTTCTGGGCAGCTGTTGTGCCATAACATCTCCACACCACTCAGGCAGCTCCAGTGTACAACCAAGCAGCCGTTTGCTCTGGGACTGTGCTAACCATAACTATCCCGACTTTCAGATTAGGTCCAATTCCTTCCCCACCTTCTTTGCATGTGCAAGGCTGAGGACCCATATTTGCTGAGTAATGGCCTTTTATGATCCAACCTTTGGATAAATGTACCTTTAGCCTTGTGCTTCCTGATCATGTAAGACAGCTTTTTCTTCCCTAAACAGTCTTATTCCATTGGCTGTTTATTCCCAATATCCTCCTGAAAACCACTATTCAGCCAGGTAGATCTCAATTCTTCCTGTACAAGATTTAAACCTTTATGAGGGATACAAGCTCCAGGTGTTCAGCACCTTTGACTTAAAACAATTCCATTCTCCTGTCTTGTTCCCCTTCTGAAGCCTGCCAGGTCATCTGGCTTCATTAATTTCTTCCCTCTATCTCTTAGAAGCTGCTCTTGCAAAATGAAGAATCCTCCCAGAAGTTTCAAATCTAATTTTGTCTTCCATTCCACTCATGAATCCACTCATGATCACTTGATCCAAGCTAATTTTCCATGGCTAGCTATTACATGTCCTCTACTTCAGACACAAAGTCTGAAATCACATCCCTTCTGGGCAGTTCAGAGCCGACTTTATGAAGAAGTTTATGGGCTACAACCCCCAGGGATACATGGGCTTTACCATTATTAACAACCTTTGATCTCCACTTGACATCAAGAAAGCTAAAGTCTCCCGTAACAATACTATTTCTCTCTCCTGTAACACTGAGATCTCAGACTCTACCGAAATCTGAATCTGCAGGTTTCTAACAGGATTCAAAGAAACCTTTTCATTTCCCCATGTCAGTGGAGTGTTTGGAGGGTCATAGTACTGCTAATAAAGGACCTTGAGGTCTCAGGGGGAGGAGGAGGTTATAGAGGAATGCCAAGCACCTTTTCCCATGTATATGTTCTTGCACACACATGCATGGGTTTGTAATTTGAAACTCTCTTTACTTCTGGACAGGCTTTGCAAACTGCTTAGACCACATTCTCTGAGGTGTTTAAAGAGGGTGGAGTATGCAGTATTTATTTAGGTACTCTACAAACCTTAATAAGAATCGAGTGCTTGTAGCAATCGCAGAGAGCAAACAGAAAGCCAGCTGGCAGAAACTGAACAGTGCCACTGCATTTTTATTGCTTCTAAGCCCCAAAAACCAAATTATTACTAAAAAAAATGTCTTTTTTAATTTCATTTATCTCTGATCCTGCATTAATTTGTCTGCTGTGTGCAGCAGTATTATTAGCTGTACT